GAATATATTATAAGTTTGATCCGATTAATTTGTTTCAACACGATAAAAACAACTAGTTAAAATTATCAGTAGAAATTTTCGTATTTAATACTCCTAAATGTAGTTTTTTTTTTAAATAAAAGTATATGGGAACATAGAATATATTTTATATTTTTAAATATTATTTTAGCCATAGGTATGTATGAATATATATTTATTATAATCATCATATTGATGCTAGCAGTGTTTATAACTATCAGCTGTATTCATATAGTAACGTAATTTATTTTCTAAACTAAAATAAATTGATAACGAAAACGGTGACACGGATTTTGGAGAAAATATGATAAATATGTTTTTTACAGTTGTTGAGCATACATACATATGCTTAAAAACTATTCCGTATGTCCGCCTAAAAGATCGGCGACAATTTTATTTTCAAATTAATCGTTTTCACTCAGTTTGGGCAGGTTATGTGGGTACCGCTATATACCTACCTATATTATACTACCAAGACGCGTTATTGGTGTCGTTTTTGCGAATTTTATTATTAAATAGGTGGCATACATGGTGATTAGCTGTAACTTTTATTTTGCGCAGTGAAATAACCTACAAACGAATACAAAACGTATAAAACGCAAATATATTTATTTATATATTATACTCGTCTTATAATAATATTATGTTGTATACACATTACATCCCCTCTATATGGCGGTAACCCGAGCGTGGTCATGATGTGTGCATTAGAGTATATTGACCCACGTTGACTGTTCAACTTTTGATATAGTATAATATTATTGCGAATGACCAGTTTGGAAGATATTTAACGCGTAAAAAAAAAGAGAAAAAGAAAACAAAGTGGCTGAGTCCAAGACTTGATTGTTTATATAATATATGTATGTACATAAACTACTTTGAGCGCTACGAAAAAAAAAAAACCATCTATTTGGTATACAGAAATATTGTTAAACATACATTAATATAAATGGCGTGCGAATTTATGAGTTAGGATGTGACCCGTGGAGACGTATAGATCGTGTCTGTAGTACGTGTGTGGGTATTTTGGCAGAGATGTAATTGGTTTTGTGTGATAACACTCTATATACTAGCTTGTATATTATACTTATGTGGTATAATGTGTGTGTGTGCACGTGTCGCATGTATCAGGAAAACGGGAACAAAAGTGAATTTTAAACACGTTTTAAGTTATTTAGCCGATTCCGTTTTGGCTGTACAGTTTACACCTAACCTACCTATAGTGCCTGATATTATTCTTATATATACCTATGTCTGATGAGGTTTGGATACATTTTTAATATAAGCCTATATAATTACTGTAATTTTATCGTTAATCCGTTTCAATTTGCGAATCGGCATACGCACTATACATTATAATATTGTTATTTGCTAAGTCGATATACATGATAGCGGCTTTATCCAACAAATAACAATATTGTACCTGTATTCTATACTATAGACTTAGAGTCTATATAGTGTTTGGTGATGATACTGATAATAGCATGACTATATCATGATATATTTAATATAGTTTATGATGATAGTTATTATACCGTCACAGTCACAAAGAGTTTTTTACGAATTTAAAAAAAAATATGAGTAATTGATTTTCTTTTAATAAATTATGTATGTATATGTAGTTCATATGACTTTTATCAGCAGGGCATTGGATAAATCCAGCCGTTGGCAGATTTACAACATTTTTTTTTTTTTGGGCGGGAGAGGTTCCTAATAATGTAACATAATATAGAAGCAATAATTGATGCGACGCGAATTCGACTTTACGAATTAACATATTTACACGGTACGAATTTTTGCATGTTTGAAAATATGTAAAAGACAGTGTAGGTTATAGTTTATACATTATTAAAAAATATAGTTCAAAATATTATTATTATGACGTTTAGGGGCGGTTTAGACTCCATTTTTAGTCATCTCCATGATGTAAAAAATATATTTTATATTTCAAGTGTATTTAAAATATTTAAAAATATATATAAAATGAATTTTAAATATTGCCAATCCTTTGTTTATAATGTATTATCGCGTAATGCGAGGTCTATTGCAATGGAAATTTTATCCAATATACATAATATAATGCGTATAATATTACATTTTTCATAATTATCAGCCTATAAACAATTTTTTGTTTTGTTTTGATTTCTCTAAGCCTTATACCTACGTAATTACGTGTTTATAGATAGGTAGGTACTATGTACGACGAACGGCTTTCTAACTAGTCTTTCTATTGATTTTCGTGGAAACCTGATGATACAATTTATTAATCATACATACGTCATTCGATTATTACCATAAAAATCACAAGACTGTAGTTTCATAAAAAAATCAGATCGTTTGAAATAATAATATGCGTGTTATGTTCGTATCACATCAGACAATATTAATCATATGTATACAGACGCGTGTATTAATTTGTGTAATGATTCTTGTATAGATAAATAATTAAGGTGTATGTATCTGAAACCCATAACGTGTTATTATATCGTATCGGAACTGACGCCTAGACGTGAAAGATCAAAGCGCGGTTAACATGTCTTCATGTACTCGCGGTAGATATAAGCTGAGGTGTTTCGCAGAATTATAATTTATCCGAAAGGCTGATATATTATTCTTACAGCGCTCGAATGACGCGATCGTGATAAAATAATATTCATTATTAGAAAGAGAAGAGAACGCGATTCCAGTAAGAAGTGAAAAAAATTCGTACGCACGCAAATAACACAAGTATAGCTGTATATTATTTTTTTTTTTTTGGTTACTCAAATTACATATTATAGCGTTTAGAGTAAACTTTAATTTGTATGCCACCTGTACCGTTCGCCGGAAGCGCCTTCATGTTTCGATTAAGCCGCGTGGCGCTTTATATATATAATATATATGTATAGTAATATGCAGTGTAGCGCTACGGTGGTCCGTTTGTGCATGATTAATCGGGCTGCCGCTGGGTTATTAGCTCAACATCACTATATTAAACTATATAAAAACATGACTACACCCTATAATCATCGTTCATTAAATTGGCGAATGTCAGAAAAAACGCGTGATATCGCGTCACCCGTAGACATTATACGACAACACTTCGTATTTGATGCGTGTACAAATCGATGACTAATAAAAAATTACTAAAAAAATCGTACACTTAATATAATATGTCTATTATCGAAGGTAAATCATTTTGGCGTAAAATATGGGGACTTGAGATGAGGAAAATAAATCCTTAAATTAAATCCTCATCAAGTATATAAATACAAATTACTAATCAAAGTACTAATCGTTTTTTTTTTTTAAATTAAATATAAATAAATATATTTACTAAAAAAAAATTGAGAAATTAAATTTTTTTGGTACAGTATTTCTAAGGTGGTTTGTATACAAGCAGGATAAGAAATGTTGTTTTTTTAGTAAAAAATGTTGTAAGAAAATAATATGATCAGATCATTTTTACCAGAGATGTGTTTGTCAACTGTGTGTATATTTTGAATATAAAATGCAAATGAAATAATAGAAAAATCAAAAAATAATTTGTATTTGTATGCCATGATATTTTAATCAAATATGGGGGGAGGGACTTGAGCCAGTTGACTCTTTCTCTCAAAAAAACTATTTGCTACTATATGGATGGGCTTAAGTAATATGATAAAATAATATGTAGCACATGCATTTTGTGTGTTACTCACATAGGCGCAATACAACTAGGTAGAGGCTAGAGAAGTGAAGACTTCCACCCCAGAAAAAAAAATGTAGTCATATTGAAGTTAATCGTATCATTCTGAAACGACAAAATAACATTTTTATAATACCTATCTGCTAAATGTATTCATTATTAATAATTATTGTACTCATATTATGTAAGTTCGAGTTTAGTTAGATTTAAAATTGGTACCTATAGGCTACAACAGCCGAACAAAATCTAAAAACTCTGCATTAAATTATGTCCAGTGTCCACACCCATATAATCGCGAATATTATCATTATTAGAATTACCATATGTCCGGATTTCAAACACCTGTCTGGATTGGTATTCGGATTTCACAAAGATAGGAAATCGTTTAACATGGTTATGTTGATACAAAAAGTTTAATCAGTGACAGATTTATGAGATTTTATTCATAGATCTAAGAAAAATTGTACTAATAAAGTAATAATATTTTTTATTTTCAATTTTTAACCCTCCTCCCCGCGTGAAACGAAACTGATATCCGGATTTGGTCTAAAAACATTTGGTAACCCTAATTATAGTGGCACTGTAGAGGTCACCTACGATTTTCTATAAATATTTTATTCATTCTATTCTCACTAATGGAATCGGGAATTGAGATTAACACTTAATGTATTATAATTTAATAACAATATTTACCTAATAGATTATAAAAACGATGTCATGAACGTCATCATAAAGGCTTTTATTATTCCGCGCGTTGCTGGGCTAAGTTTATTTATATATGCGCCTCGAACCGGTCTCGATAACACAAAGTGCGCTGCCAGCAGATTTATCTTAAAATATAATATTATTATTTAATGTCATCGTGAACCATATTTCTGTTCACTCGTGTGTAAACGTGTAATTCTTTAGGTGTAACAGACATCGTCTTGTATAAATTATTGATGAATATTAACGACAATTCAGTCAGGTTGATTTGTGTATTATAAACGTTGTATACATTATCATACTGTACGTCTTATGTTTGAAACGTATGAATCCTAAATCGGTATTCTTATGTTGTCGAGAAATACTCGATTAATATTGATTAATGTTACATTAATACTAATTACTAACGTTACATTGATTCATGTCGATAAGCAATATTTGCGAACACGTGTTTTTGGCGCACTGCGCGATGGACAATACCTATCTTATATTATTCGTATTGTAGGGTTAGCCGTGGCGAATAACGTTTGAAATTTAAAAACGTAATCATAAAGTTTGAATTTTTGTCTCTATTTACAATAAATAATACGACTCTATTTTATTATTGTAGCGTATCCTGTGGATCAGGGACATTCGGCAGGTCGTAATATCGATCACCACCATGATTCGATGATGAGTAACAGCGGTAGCGGTCCTCAAAGCGCCTACGATATCAGTACCGACAAAACGTCGAGGACGAAAAGACAGAGTTCGTGGGCGATGGTATCAGGTCCATGTCTGACGGGCAGAGGCACGTTGGGCAAGTGTACGAGTTTTCGAATGTGCTATCCGTATGTCAAAGCGCCAAACTTCCAGTACTGGGACTCGTGGATGGTGGGAATGTACGATACATGCACGTACATAAGTATCGACCACAAACAGGTGAATACCTACGTAATATATAACAAAAATGACAAATCTACGCCCACATATTTGATTTTTATGTAGGTATGAAAAATCTTGGAATGTTTCATTTTGTATTAATATACTTTAATACGTTTTCTCTTAGAATTCTTTTTTTTAAATGATTTTACAAACTCCTATAATTTTGAAAACTAATATTCTTAAAAATACAAGGCTTTTTTGTTAAAATGTTCTTTTATTTGCTTAACGTACTTACATCAAATATTTTTTTTCCAGAACGGATTATGAGCCATTAATATTATTTAGGTACTTTAAAACTTTATTTTAAGAATACGATTATTGTCTTAAATGATAAAATAGTAAAATAATAGTATGTACCTATAGTGCTTATTATTTTATGCACATTGAAAAAATAAATAAAAACATATTTTCAATAAAACATTAGAAATAAACTAATACTTACGCACATTAACATTAGACACTAACCACATTTAGATGTTTGGCGTGTGCTGCGATCACCCGAGCTTCATCGGAGAGAGTCATAAAGAAGAAGGAGTGAGACCACCACCATCGATGGTGCCACCAAATTGGCCACCACCTTTGCCAACGCACCCTCCGGACCATACTATACCGCCGATTCCTACTCATCCTCCACACACGCCACCACCAATGCATCCAACTAAGCCAACGCCTCCGCAGCAACCGACGATACCGCCATGGCCGCCGCTTCAGCATCAAAACTTCACTACTTCTACTACTACTACTACTACTACTACTACCCCGCACAATAAACCTACTAAACCTACCACCACTACACCGTCTTATGTGGACAACGAAGCCGGGAATTTTGATTATCAATGTGGTCTGAAGAATGGTCCTCAAGATCAAGAGAGGATCGTCGGTGGTCAAAACGCAGATCCCGGAGAATGGCCGTGGATTGTAAGTATACCTAAACACCTAGTGTACTATGGTAAACAATACACATACGCGTGTTGCGTGTAATTTATTATTTTATATTATATCGTACACAAATTTCACGGTAAAATATATTTTATACTCATCAGACATTGATGAAACTAGGTCAATCTGCAGTAGCTTAAACACTAATTTGCTTAAACTTAATAACCCCTGGGTCCCTATACATAATCTATACATTTCCGATGACCATCGCATGGTACAATAATGTCTTAGTGTCAATCGAAATAGAGATCATCTATTTTGTGATGTACATATTATAAAATTGCAAACATCATAATATGCTTTAATAATAGCGAAAATAATTGTTTCACATTGTAATCTCGTCTATTATTATTTATTACACTCGGTAGTATTGTTCTCCAGTGTTTAATTTTTCGGCTGCTCTACTGTTGATCGATAGTTAGATAATAATTTCTGGGTATCTTAAATAACACATGACTTATAGTGAATACAAATCTAAAACGACAATGGTTCGTGGTGTTCCCAATATCGAAATAGGCATCCATATAGGTAGCTATATATATGCAATATATAATATATACTCAATAGATGATGTTTGACTATGATGAGTTGTAAATAATTTCAGGTAGCTATATTCAATGCGGGCAGGCATTTTTGCGGAGGATCTCTAATCGATGACACACACGTATTGACAGCGGCACATTGCGTTGCTCAGTAAGTATTGATATAAAATCAGATAGTTTTAAAAATTTAAACGTTCAATATCGTCTTAATATTCTGTAATTTGATTGCAGCATGAATTCGTGGGACGTAGCTCGTTTGACAGCGAATCTCGGCGATTACAATATAAAAAGTAAAACTGACGTGAAGCACATGGAGAGAAAAATAAAAAGAGTCGTACGGCATAAAGGTTTTGATCAAAGAACTCTGGTTAGTAAAACGTTGGATATCCTATACGGTATACATTAATTTACGTCTGATAACCAATTTATTTTCACTGTAGTACAACGATATCGCGCTCCTGACTCTGGATAAACCAGTGAAGTTTGATAAACAAGTACACCCGATATGTTTGCCGATGAGCAGATCTATGTACGCAGGACAGACCGCTACAGTCATCGGCTGGGGCAGCTTGAAAGAGAGTGAGTTTCAAAGGAGACGAACGCATAATAATTTTTGAATAAAAGTCAACCCGGTGTGCTGTCTGTTTTAGGTGGTCCACAACCGGCTATTTTGCAGAAGGTCAACGTACCAGTGTGGACAAATCAAGAATGCAAATACAAGTACGGAGCCGCGGCTCCGGGCGGGATTGTAGATCACTTCTTGTGCGCAGGAAAAACAGCAAGAGACTCTTGCAGTGTAAGTATAAAATCTTGATGCATATTAATATGTCAAGTAGGTATCTACTTCGTATTTAGATTGGCGGGCTATCTTTCGATACGAATATATAGTATATCAAATTAACTTTTTTTTATTATAACAGGGTGACAGCGGAGGTCCCTTGATGCTCAACGATGGTAAATGGACCCAGGTGGGTATTGTCAGTTGGGGAATAGGGTGCGGCAAAGGTCAGTACCCAGGAGTATATACCAGAGTTACGAGTTTCATGAACTGGATTACAAGAAATTTAAAAACGTAAATTGATATTAGTATAGTATAGCTTACCGTTAATAATAATTGTGTCTCGGTAAATTATTATTATATTATAAATTGATATTATTTTATTTTTGTACATATTATTTAGATTAGTATTAATAATTTTATTATTTATAGTCCTATGTTCTTTAAACTTTTTGTATTGTTCTCAATTTATTTTATTTTATATATTTTATTTAAAAATTAAATGATACATAAATAATATGAACTATTATGTTGGATATATGTAATCTCAATTCTTCATAATATTTTCATCTTTAATGATAAATCTTTCCTCGGAATCTAGAATTACCATATCACCTGAAATTCAAAGTTAAATTCTCATTTTAAAATTCAGAGTTGTTTTTTTTTTTTTTTTTTATTACCCGTTTTAAAATATTTTTTGACATTTTGTACTCCAACAAGACAGGGTAATCCGTATTCTCTGGCGACAACAGCTCCTATATAAACGCGATAATAGTGATTAATTGTTTGTAGGTTTTAAATTATTTTGTTTTCATTGTATACCGTGAGATATTACACCACCGATCTCCGTGACTAAACCGGAAATAATCGGAAAATATGGTGACCAAGCTATGTCGACGGATTTTACGATCAAAATGTCTCCTGTCCGTAAGTAACGTGCATCTTCGATGTGCTCTAGTACACACGCACGACCTTTAATCACTCCAGGAAACACGCAAAAACCTTTTAACCGTAACTTTATGGAACTGTAAACAAATTCCTGTACGTAAAATACAAGGAATTGTAATTAAAATAAATACGTACAATTTGGAAGGATTAAAACTATAATATATCGATCATAAAATAGTATGATTAACCTCGTCTAAATTTTTTTTAGGAACAGGTGGTCCGTAACACACGTCATCAAATTGCAACAATGCCCAATCGGGCCACAATTTTCGTCTTTTCATTGCTCTATAAAATTTAATAAATTTACAAGAAAAAATATGTTTTTTGTTTATCAAATACAGGAACAACAAATTAACACTAATAAGAGAAGCCTATAACGATTAAAAATACAATATGTAGACATAATTTAGGTATTATCATTAATTATAAATGCTATCATTTATAATAGTATTTATAATTAATGGTATTATATCAAAATAATATATACGCTCACTTGTGCACAATTTCAGGACAGTTATTATTTTCGCACATCTTTCTTACTTCGTACTGAGACATGAAAAAAATGAGTTTCAAATCCGGTATTTTTCCCTCAGCCACAAGTTTTTCGCCGAGATTTCGATAACCCAATCTCAGCTTGTGAGTGATTTGTACCAGCATATCTTTTGATTGTTCCCTATATGAAATGCTTTGACGATATCTTTTTAGTAAATAATCGAATATCATTCTAATGAAACAAAAAAATACGTTATGAATTTGTTGTTTTTTTTAAATCTTAAACTAATTTAAAATACTTATTAAAACATCCTCTTGTAAATCTTCTAGAATCGATTTCTACTGATATTTTATCGGGTCGATGATTTCTGTACAATATTAACGATTGGAGACACGAAAACAATCGGTTGCGATCGGTTGACCATGTTTCTGAACCAAAATCTAACTATAAAATCATCAACAGAATAATTTGATTCTTAACTGTGAAAATGATAAGGATTATAAAAAAAATTCCATTATTATAATGTAAGAAAATCAATGAAGGTACTAAAAAAAAGCTAATTTGATTTTTTGAATTGTAGTATTACTGGACCTAGCAAAAATATTATATTTTACATATAATATTGATAGTTTGAGTCGCAGAGTTTTAGTTAAGTACCTACTACAAGTTCTTTAATTTTAATTTTTCTAAAAAATAACCATTTGTAGGTTTAAAAGTCAAACCTCTTGAACACCTTTGTGTCCATATTTTTTAATAAAGTCTTCCAGTTGGCCATAACCTTTCTCACAATTCAACTTTAACCAATCGTTACATCTTTCAACGGGCAAATCGCAAAATTCTTTTTTGGAAGGCATTTCAGAAATAACGCCAGCAATAGCCTAAAAAATATAATTGAGTAATTTAATAAAACATTTATCACAGTATTGTAATATGTTTATAAACCTTACTTGAATATCTTTCAACATTGAAACGTTTATTATGTCTGGTGTATTAATTAACATAGCAAAATTAGATAACGTGTCAACATCTGAGTCTAAAAATTCAAGTCTCAATAGTTTTTAATCTATGTTATAAATTATATTTATGAAAAAAAGTTGCAATGATTAAACAAAATTACCTTTATTGAAATGTAATCCTATTATTGCCAACGATTTATGTGATATTATATTATTCATGCTTGATGCAACATGACAATAAGTGACCTTTAAATATGTAATTTAGAAAAATATGATGAGTAACTTATAAGCTATAATAAACAATTATTATAATATACATTATACAATTTAAAGTGACTATATCTAATATCTATATATTTTATTTAAGTTATATGAGTATTATTATACATAAGTAAAATAATTTTGTAATTTATAAAATACTTTTTCTAAAACATCCATAACACTGTTGATATTATTTAAAAGATCCAACGCCGTATCTGATTGTTTTATATTTGCATTACAAATCAATTTATATGTTTCGTTTAACAGTGATTCGATATGTAGCGTTTCCTAAATGATATTTTATACATTTTTCAATACATTTTAATATTAATTGCATACAAAACAAATACTTACTTTAAATGAAGAATAAGATTTCAATATTTTTTGTAATACAGATCTGCGATTTTTCAATAATATTTTCTCCCAAATATTATCTGTTAAGAAAGATTTTCCTGCTATCGAATATTCAATTATTTTGACGTAAACACTACCAGGTTGTAAATCTTGAAACATCTTCCACAAAAAAAAAAAAAATCGATAAACAATTGGTATAAAATTTAGTTGAACATGTATAAAGTTTTTGTTAGTATATAGATACTTACTTTACATACGTTAAGACATATGTGGTTGTGAGTGTGGCACATCTGTTTGTTACAATAGATATCAGTGGGCTCTGTTTCGGTCAATTTAAACAGTGGATATGTTGAAAAGAAATCCAAAGTCGATGAAAGAGTGTGCATAGGGTTTGGGTAGACTTCTCTGAAATTGAACAAATATTTGTATTGATTGCAATGTACTGTACTCTGTATGCAATATAATTGTTTGATCTAACTTCACATTATAAAACATCACCACGTCGTCGCTCGTAAATGCCGAGTCAAATTCTCGTGTGATTTCGTCGTTAGTCCAAGTGAATATGGACGTGATTGGTCTCGTCTGAAGAAGGTAAACTTGATCCTGTCGACAAAAAACGATAATGAATGTATGATGTATGACGTATGTTTATACCTAAAGATTAATTTTAATCCTACAACAAATGATTAATTGTCAACGCTCGTCCTTTAATCGTAATTTTGAAACCATATATTCGCGTATAGGTTTGAATGTATTTACATACAATTTTATTATACCGTACTCGCGTTTCGTTCATAAAACTCGGTACCTAGATGAAAGTACAATCAAAAGTTTATTATTATGGACTTTAAATTTCAAACAGAACTTAGCTATTGAAAAAATTACTTCATTTTTTGACTATTTAAAACTTTTCTAAAAATAAATAGCAAAAACAATAAAAATATAAAAATCACCTGTATATTAAAATGAAAATTTAAAATTGTACAACACGTTAATTAAAGTCAGAATCTGGGTATAAGATGAACTTTGTGTAAAAAAGTCAATGAATAATATTAATACGCAAAACGAATACCTCTACAGCCACCCATTCGATGTCTTGCGGCGAACCAAACACGTTTTCCACTCGGACACAGATATCGGCTAACTTTTTGACCAAATTATCGGAAACACACCGCGGTTTTACATCATCGCCGTTTTCAACGATGAAATCTGTAATTCATACACATTTTTACTTATTAATAATAAAGACGTTGTGATACATGGCGTCTCTATATAAAATTAAAGGTACACTGCGACAGTGCAATGGGCATTACACTTTTACATTGTAACATTTTTACACTTATAAAAGTAACCATACAGTTCACAAGTCGTTTAGTCAAATAACTTTGAACCTCTGGTTATGAAAATTATACCAAACATTAAACACAAAAATTATACAAAATAACTTAAATTCACACTACCATATAAAATATAATATTTCCTTATAAACTGATATTTAATTGACTAGAAATTCCTATCTAGACATTACAATGAATTAACGCATGTTATATGCATTAATTTATTAATGTATTACATGATATAAATACTTTGTATAATATACATAAGTAGTGGTAATACAATTTTTTATTACCTTAATTCATTATTAGGTTATGTAAATATTTAGTAGTAAGTTAAGAAATTAAGTTTATTTACTGGATGTTGTCAGCGGGAGCTCCACAGAAGTAGTGGAATCGTTGACAACTGAATCGAACTGCAGTCTAGAAACAATGACTTCGAAAGGTTCGTCCGATCCCGAAACAACACCCTGTAACGTATAGTCCATTAGTTGAGGCTTTTAAAAGCACCTTTACTTATAGTCACAATTTGTGTACTTTAGTGACTAAAATTATGCACAGTATGATAAACCTTGTGTAGTAAAAATTATTGAGCACTGAGCACTCAAATACGAAATTAAAAAGTAAGAAGTTTTTATTTTGTAACATAACTATGGAACTTGATAATATTCTAAATTTTAATTTTTAATTATTTATAACTGTGAAATTGAAATATTATATAACATGATGGTTTTGAAAATAAATAATATCCTTTTCATTTTAATCATAATCAAGAATTGTTCACAATTTCAAATCATAGGTAACAATTTTGTACTTTTAATGCCAGCCGTAGTACGTTTAGTGATTGATAAAAATATTTTTTTATCTGTCTCAATGTTAGAAAATTTTATTTTGATATGTTCGTAGTTTGAAACACAGATTTTTATACCAACAAGTTAGTTGTTGGTATGAAAACAGAAAACTGTAGTTTGGAACCGTTATACTATCGTACACAGTTAGTATACAGTTACGGTTTTGAAATGGAACGTTGAATAATTTTAGTATCTCTCTCTCTATCACATTTTGTACAAAGTTAATTTCATTTTAGTATGTATGTCATATTAAAAATAATAATTTATGACAAAATTATGAATAATATACATTATGAAAGTTTTAAAATATAACCATAATAAAATTATAATAACAATTTATTATTATTTTTTGTGTCGTGGTTCTAAATGCCTTCCTTGAAATGTTATCAAAACTATAATTGGATATAGAATTAGTATCATTATCTTTGGTAGTAATAGTAAAAACAATTTTATTTTAAACTGATAGTGATTTGAGGTTTGTTTATTGCTGTTTACAATTAGGTGTATAAGGGAGAAATCCCCTCACGGCAAAATTGGTCTCACATAAAATGTGCAATTTATGAAGGTGTAGGTTTTTAGCCTTAGAATAATTGTGAATGATAGGACCTTTCAATCTCGCTATTTTAGATTGTTATACATACATATTAGCTTCCTGTCATGGCGTATAAAGGAAAAAAATCTCAAATAAATATTAATAATTACGTCTATACTTAAACTGGTTACGCTTACCGCTTTTTCCAGGCCGTAACTCGCAGCTATAATAATTTTCCCGGGATCGCCGGTATTTGGGTCTCTTGAGAACGCGACTCCTGCCACTCCTGAACCGCTCACTTGATCTTGAATGATCACGGCCATGTCGCACATTAGCGGTTGTCCATTATTCCTGTGAAAACGAAAAATAATATTTTATATTGTAGGTGAAACCGCAACAAACTGTCGTCCACGATTACGATACCTAGTGATAAATATAATAGATATCACGCCACCACGGTGATAACGGTGTATTAAACATATTATGCAATTTATTATTTTATTATAATTTTATATCATATAGGTAGTGCACTACTGCACTATTTGTTATTTCTGGTCCACGCGTAACATAGTAAATTTTTGGTCAGTAAAACTAACTGTAGGTGCAACAAGAACTACATTTTAATTTTGAGAAGCTATCGCCTTAAATTATTTTTTTATTAATCTACGTGATCTTTTTCCTTACACTTTTCTACTAATTCTAACTATTCACAAATGATTTGTAATAAATAAAAATTTACATCAATATTTATATACATAATATTTATCCAATATAATTTACTGAGCATGCATAACCATTTATTCTTTTCATAATTTTCTTATTCAAATTCTAATTATTAGAACTTTTAAACATACTTAAAGACCAAATTTTCGATTATTTAGATTTACAACTGTAAAATCAACTTAATAATTTATTGTGAAAAGGTTAGTTTTCATTAAAAAAAAATAAATCGGTATTCGTATTGCCATAGAACAATTCTTAAATGGTACAACAAATCTAAGTATTTGCCAAATTTCAGTCTAGTAAGTAGCCAATTTCATGCCTCATTGGAGAAAATATTTTTTGTGACTTATCACATATTATTGGTAACTAAGCCTTTTTTAAGTCCGCGCGTGGGTCAGCAAAAAAAAAAAAAAAATAGTGCGCTGACATTTTCTTAAGTTTAATTTTTCTATAAATGAATATGTATTTCGTGTTTAATGGTATAATTGGACTTCATGTCCGTTTATAAATAATATATATATATATATATATGTGTGTATACTTTCGATACGTCAGAGCTCGCGCCGAGAAATTTGACGACCAACATTCTAAAACTGCCGCCGCGACTTTGGAAGTATGGCCGGCACAGCCTAGTTTGGTGATATATTGACCGGCTGATGATGTCAATTTTCCGTCTTCAAACGTTCCAGAAGAACGGACCGCGTATACGCGGTGTTCGCTCACACTGTCCGAAATCGCCTCCAGCAACTCAGCACACAGTTTTGTAGACTTCCATTGTTCGTTCAACCTGACGTAACAATATTACAATAATACGTATTAAATTATAATATAACACATATTATAAATACATGATCGATGCTTGTAATAAATACATCCAATGGCGGGCTTATGAAATAAATTGGTCAGGGAAAAATATTTTACAAACTCTGGCTAAAATTTGATTCGCCCACCTGCTAAAGTTCCGATATTCCGTAGACATAGTTTGCCATTGGGTACCTACATAGTACCTACATCAATAACAAAAATGATTTTTTTTTCTTACCGTTCACAGTAGTTTGACAACTGTTCATAATCATTTAGCTTTGCTTTTTCGATCGCGTTGTTCAAATAGTTCGATAATTCTTTATTTTCGTTAATATGTGTTCTCATCGCGATCGTCGTGATGCATATTCCGTCGGGAACCATAGCCTTCGAGTCAAAACACCACAATATATTAACATTATATAAGTATATAAAAACCATCAACTCATTTTTCACTGATTAAATTTCAATCTAAAGCGTGCGCAACAGTAATATGCGTTTAAAAATGTGTAACTCACATCATTAATCAGACCATTGACGATTGCTTTTTTTAATCGGAATAGAGATTTTGCTTTATTCCCTACTATATTGCTGAACGCGCACATTTCTGACTTTAAGTTAAGTGTTAAACCGACTTCATGATCGTTAACAGAAATGTCTTCTGCACATTTTACTGTATTGTCTGTATTGAACGCATCTCTGAAAGTCCATAAAATATTTAATTATATTATTTTTATATTGTTCGTATAATATAAGTACTGGTATCTAAATAATATTATGAAGATATAAATTTACGATATAAGCATATACAAGATATTATTATAATTGTTTTAATTTAATAATACATAGTAATATGTGCCGTTAAAAAAAATATTACTTGAAACATAAAAGTATTCCCTTAAAGTTGTCTTCAATAACGGTTTTTATCAACACAGTATTCAGATTGACATTAATTTGGCTTTTTAAATTTGCGTTTAAACTCAAATCTTTAACACAAAAATAAAAAATCAACGAAGTCTATTTAAAAGGATAATTAAAAAAAATAAATAGTTATAATATATAAAGAAAGAGGTAATCACTTTTATGATGTATTTTGATTGTTGGACTTTCATTTTCTACATTCTTGAAATGTATTTCATCTGATGTTAGTATTTCATGTACTGAAGTTGTTTTTAAATGGCCACGACAGTTTATCCTAAATTTAGTACAATATTGTTATTGCAAAACAAATTAATTTTAACATATTATATGAATAAATTATTAATAATAAACAAACCAATTATAGACTATAAAATATTTTAAAATATTTAAACAATGAATTATAATAGTCTACGACACCACGGATCACAATAATCGTATGGTAAAAACCAATAGCTATAATATATATTACCTTTTTAATTTTTGTATGGAACACATAATATCAGTGTTCATAAATCCAGCAAACATCGAGTCGTCTATTGACATATTCCACCGTCTTAATTTCATAGCATGCATGTTAATCATTTCTGATTTACCGTCTACTACTATCAAACCGGAAATTTGACCGAACTGATCGAATCCCAATAAATTGTTAACGCTAAATCGTGTGATAAAATTAAAACAACTATAAATCCTAATACGTTAGAACTTTATATAATAAAATTTGATTTACTATTCCGAATCAGAGTGATCGATTTCGTGTTTGAAAAAAGTATTATTTCTATCGCAGTACACTGGAAATCCAAATGGCTTCCACCTAAACAATGCAACAAGGATAAATTGAAATTATAAATCTACATAATATGAATACTACGTTTTAACTGATGATATGATAATAATAATCATAATAATACTTATTTTTGAAAATGTCTTTTAATTTATAATATTTAATACCAACAAACCGTTTTCATAACTTTCTGATTAAAATTTAAACATACTATTTTTAAAAAAAAAAATAACCATATCAACTACATATTTAATTGTAAGTAGCTATCAAATAAAAAAGTACTTGTATCGTAAACTTACAAGAAATTTATCTTCACATGGCGATAATTCTCACCGTTCCTATGGAAAAAATATGCATAACATGTAAGAATAATTTACGTTTTAATTTAAAGCATATTAAATTTGTGTATTTTCTAACTTTAGACGACCACTGAATATAATTCTCCATGTTTGCATAGGTACCGTACATTGAAATTGGAGACTGAGTGTTTTCCAACTAGAAAATTCATAGGATCCTTTATCCGTTTCTAAAACAAACAAAACCAACAAATATTTTGTTAGCTTATTAATTATTATTTATTAATTTATTATTAAATGTAAGGCTTTCAATCAATTATATTATTATTTTATTATTTATTATAAAAAAATAGATTCGTGATATAAGCTAGTGATATAACTTAAAATCTGTTAACATTTGAAACATAAAACTTATCTTATGTAAATTAAGATAAATATAGATACCTTGATTTGTGAATTCAAGTCCGGTGGGGTCACGGATATGTATTAAAGATTTTGATTGTTTTAATTTGACATTTTGATTAACGCATAATAAAATCATATTTCCCATTTTATCTGCGCCAAAAAATACCATTAAATCTTGAACATCCTATATACACATAAAATACATCATTTGTATTTTACACTTAAAAATTATAAAAAATAAACGTTTTAGTCGTCTAACATTATTTCGTTCGTGATCCAATAAAATATCTGATATCGTAGGCGTAGAAAAACATAATCGTTGCCGAAAATTTTCCATTTTTACTATTTCTTTATTTCTGAAAAAGATTGATAAATATTTAAATCCATATATTGTGTTAGCATTTATCAATAGCTCACTAAGACATTTATTGAATTTTATTATAAATTAAAATTGCATGAACATTATTATCTAATAAAAGTAACTTAGTATTTATTTTTAAACTCTTTATGTAACATTAGTTATTCTTATAAAAAATACCGGTTTGATTAAAGTTATGTTTTCAAGCGCATAAAGTTCGCTGCTATTATTGATTAGTATCAATAAAACAATACATATCATAAAATAATTTATTAATGTCTAATTACTTTTAATTTCAGATTTCAGTTATTAATTGTATAATTTTGCTTATACAAAAATACGAATTGAAGGAATCTGTCTCTCTACTACCTAGTGATGGATAGCAAACGGAAAATGCAGATTTAAAAATAGAGTACCTATTTTATTGTTTAATACGCAAATATTTGCGTAAAGAAACGATTTTCAATCAAAAAGTTACGCAGAACTATACTCTGTTGAACTTGTTTAAGTAAACGTTAATTTGGTATGTAAGTATCAGATAAAATTTTTTATTTATAAAATATGAAGTTATTATTATTTTATCATAAAAAAATATAATATAGATTGTGTATAATATCATTAATATCTATATAATAATAGGACCTTCATAAAGATGTATCAATCTAAAAACCGACTTTTTGTTATTAGTAGGATTCTTTCATAACAATAAAAGTTTCAGACAGACTAAAAAATAATTGGATTATAATGTAAATAAGTATACAAGTGTCAAGTAACACTATTATTACTACTTATAAGTAAATAATAAGATGACACACAATATCGCCAACTCGGTTTTTTATTATTATGTTGGCCGTAGTTTTGATGACAGAGAACAACGATACCTATACCTACATAAGTAAATATTGTTGGTTCCTAAACCGTAAAAATATATGCTGGCATGTTGTTATAGGCTTAGGCTATGTTAATAATATAAATTTACATTTAAAGCTATAAACAATATTATGATGCGTGAAAAAAAGGTAGATACTATTTATTGGTTGGGTAATCATAATGAAATTCATATAATTTTTTTAACATATATAGATATACACACATAAATTATCAAAATTATCATTATATTAAATATAATTTGAACTTACCGAGAATGTAACTGTAAGGTAGTCAAGAAGACGTGCACGTATAATAATTATTTTATAATATAGATATACTTATAATAATAAATCGATGACAGCGCTGAAATAATGAGAGTAGACATAGTATGACAATTGATTAATTAAATGAATAATTATGTTTAAATTTCACGAAAAAACTCGTTTAACGTAAATAACATATCTACTTATTATAATACCACCTCAAAGTTAAGTTGCAAATATTATTTTGTATTTATGCAATATTATTAGAAATAATTGATGACTATTCTACCACCTTACACGAAGACGAATTTTACACTATGATAAAATTGTTAGGAATCCAGTTCTCGACTACTTTGGGTCAGCGTTCAATTTATGAAAAAAACTTTGAATACGAATTATTTAAATGATACTAAATAATAGCACTGAACCCATTATTATTATTACCTATCTATATATTTAAGTTGAAAAATTCCATAAGCCAATCGTCATTCGATAAATACATTAATTATGAGTGGGAAAATATGCGTAATCAAATCTCAAGAAATTACTATCAGTATTTATACTTTATAGATAAAAAACCAGGTATTTAAATAACAAAACAAAAATTAATTTTCCTGTGCTCTTTTCGTAGTTGAAGTACAACAGTCAACAAATTATATTAGATACTATAGTTTGAGTCATAGGCGTTCGCAGACTTCTGAGTCAGGTATGACTAAATTCAATCTGACATCTCCCCCCTCCCCCGTCGCGGTCACATAAGAAAAAAACGTATTATGCCTATGTGCAACCAGTTTATTTTTAATCGTGTAAATATCTATGATTTTGATTTATTTTGTCATCAATTTTCTACGGCTATACCGTATTTTTACGTTCGTAGGTACTTCTACCTAAGAATGTAGTTAAGAAGACTTGCATGTTTAATAATTATTTTACAATGTACATATACTACATAAGGGAGACCGAGGACAAAAGTAACATATGGGTCAATTGTAACATGCTGAATATTTTCTTCTATAATATATACGCCCGCAGAAATTTTTTTCAGGGGGGGGGGGGCAGCGAAAAATAATACACTTACCATAAATTCTGTTTTTTATATCATCAACAAAAATTATTATTTATTTTATTAACAGTATTACAGTGTCACCTTATCAGTTATCAGTCCTCCTTATCTCGCCCTCCAGACGCTATATAAATGCAAATAAATCAATAAAGATAGTGTCACATATCTTAATTATGGAAGATCCCGGCCCCTTCTACGGAGCCTTGAATACACATTCACTGGTTTATTACGATCATTTTCTCTCAATTTTGTCCATTTTATCCTGTATCAGTTTGATTTATGTGTTCGTTAATCAAATAAGCAGTAAAGACGATTTTGAATTCAAAAGTGATTTTTGGTTTTTGCATAAGTTCGGGATCACTGTATACGCTGTTTAATTTATTATTTAAAAGTAACTTCAGAATAAAACCTCTGGAGATTACGATTATATATAATAATAAATTAACTTCTAAAGAAAGTTCATCATTTGTTTTCGCATTGATTAAAACCCGTACATAGACAGGCCAATTATAGCATCAAACAAGGGAATCAATTGTACCTGCTATATATATTATTCATGAAAATCAATTATATTATTTTAAATATAAAATTTTTTACGAACACTTCTTATTGATTATTAACTTTGATTTAGTTTACAAAATTACACGAAAACGAGAAAAAACTTTTAATAAGTTAAATATTAATAATAAATTAATAATTATACATTACTTATCATATTATATTTTAATTAAAATTTTTTTTAATAATGAATAGGTAGATAATAATTATATTTCATGATGATTTGAGTTTAGTCTAGTTTGGTTACATCTACCTATATGTCATGGTTATCAGGTTTAATTTTTAATTTAATAAAACATATATAATTACATTAATATCATTGAAAAAACGGAATTAAGATAATACGTGTAACATTTAACCCCAGAGTCTGGGACGATTGTAATATTTTTTTTTTTAAATTAAAAATATTTATTGTTAAGATTGATATTTAAGCAGCTATTGTAATATAATTGTATAGCTATTATGTTCCTTTATCAAATTATAATGTTAAAAATTAAAAATCTGCACAGTTTCTTAAAAATAGAAAAAATGTTTAAATATTATGTTTGTTCCCTATCTCCCCTATTTATAATGATAAATCGATGACGGCGCTGAAATAATAAGAGTAGACATAATTTGACAATTGATTAATTAAATGAATAATTGTGTTTAAATTTCACGAAAAAACTCGATTTACGTAAATAGCATATCTACTTATTATAATACCTAGAAGTTAAATTACAAATGAATCGATGATTGCAAAAACGACAAGAGTCAAATTTTTTGTGAAACGTCATGAGTCAGAAAACTTTGAAAGTCAATAATAAAACAATTTCATATTATTTATATACACAAATTATGTATAATCAGTGCATAATATATTTCTACAAGTATTCATTTTTAAATAAGGATTTTTTTCAGAATCATTTAAATTATTCACTTTTTATCAATTATCCAAAAATTTTAAAAGATTAACTCATGTCGTTTCTGCAATCATCAATTAAAATATTATTAGAAAAAATTGAAGATTATTTTACCTCTTTATACGAAAACGAATATTGCACTATAATACAATTTTTAGGAATCCAGTTCTCGACTACTCTGGGTCAGCGTTCAATTTATGAAAAAAAAAAAAAAACATTAAATACGAATTATTTAAATGATACTAAATAATAACATTGAACCCATTATTATTATTACCTATCTATATATTTAAGTTGAAAAATTTCATAAGTCAATCGTCGTTCGATAAATATATTAATTATGAGTGGGGAAAATATGTATAATCGAATCTCAAGAAATTACTATTAGTGTTTATACTTTATAGATAAAAAAACCAAGTATTTAAATAACAAAACAAAAATTAATTTTCCCGTGCTCTTTTCGTAGTTGAAGTACAACAGTCAACAAATTAGATTAGATACTATAGTTTGAGTCAAATTACCTGTTTTATCAAGTTATCAAGAACAGAAATTATATAAATTAAATTTTCTACTTCTACTTGAGCTTATTAGGTACTACTTGTCGTACGGTTATAGAAGTTACCTATATCCACAGTCATGGGCGCCCATAGGTAATATTTTAGGGGGGGTCAAAATAAAAAAATTTTCGAAAGTAAGATAGTAAAGATTTAATGTTATTTTTCACATATAAATGTATACACTATACATGCATGTTATATTTTTATTTGTATATATATATATAGTGTATTAATATAATAATTGCCATACGAATAAATAAATAAATATATAATAATTGTCATATGAATAAATAAATAAATAAATAATAATTTTAATAAGTATATAAAAAAATAGAAATTAAATATTATAATTAAGTATATTATTCGGTATCAGTAAATAAGAACTGTAAATTTCTTCGTTTTATTCCAAACATATTAATGACATCCTGAATGAAAGTATCCTTGTTTGCGTTAGGTTAAAATATTTGTAGTACCTATATTGTGATCTTTATAGATTTACCACAAATTATCTGCGATAAATTATTTTACGTATAGGTTATACAGACTACAGAATACGACCTATCTATGATGTTAATATACGATAACAATGAGTATATTTTTATATTTATTTCATATCTTAAAAGTTGATTTCAACAAATAATTTGCCTCGGTAATAAGGTAATATTGTGGTAATATTTTTTCCAGGGGGGGGCAAGTGCCCTGTCTTGCCCCCCCCCAATGGGCGCCCATGTCCACAGTTTATAATGTAGGTACATGTTACAATTTTATTTTTGTTGTATTTCGTAACTTCTACTGGTTTGGATTTTCAACTTAAAAATTGGATGTGGTCACTTTTTCTAAAGCACTTGTGGAGAGGGGGTACTTTGTGACTGGAGGAACTTAGATTGTACCTACATCAGTTTTATTTGATAATCTTTCTATATACAATACAATGAAATGCATAACAATACCTACAACAGTTTTATAATAAATTATTATAATCTAACCTTGGAATTTACCATTAGGTTAGATAATTATCAAGAAATTGAAAAACAATAAGACGAAAGTGGAAAAAATCTATTCAACCATTTACCTATTTACTTTATTCTATACCTAATCAAAAAATTTAAGCCGCTTATGATAATATTTTATCATTGCTTTCAAATGAAATACAAAATACTACACTACAATAGGATTGTGTCGAGGCAAGTAAAGTGGTGTAGGCATATAAACACAAATATTATAATCTTTAATGGACATTAGTATCAATAGAGAGGATGGTGATTGGGGAGGGGGGAGTTAGACCTTTCAAAATTATGCCAAGCCTTTCCAAATAAATTCCTTGTCAATTAATTACTGCGGTGAAACTTCCGTGTAATGAAGTGTCAAAGTTATTGTTAGATAAAAGTACGTTGCATAGAAAATTTACTTTATTCGGAAACATCGTTGTTTTCCTAAAATTTTAATGATAAATACGACATAAATTATTTAAAATTTCATTTTTGTAATGTAGTATTTTTTATATAGTGAAAAAATGATATATTTTAACATAGGTAAATGGTATCCCCCAACAATATGTGTTTGTTAGCTACTTCGTAAATAGACATTGAATATAAATTATAATTGGTATTTGTAGTTGGTAACTATAGGTAATTTGGAAGCTGCGGGGGTTATGTCTCGTGTTTTTTAAACCAATACTAAAAAAAAAACTCATGTCCCCCAAAATAATTTGAATTATATTTGCGTCTGTAAGACTATTATATACTCTAGATATATGAGTGCCCATTCAGATACCTACTTATAATTAACAATTCTTTATATCATCTAGAAATATATTATCATTGTTATTTTAGTCATTTATTTTTTTATTAAACAAAAATTATTTATTTATTTGAAGAACGATTTGGATTTGGAGTAAATTGAAACTCTACAAAACTGCAACCATCGCAATAGAGAGGAATGACCGATGGAACCTACAAGATTGGATGTGTTTGAGAAGAAAGATAAGGTACCGGCATTAATTTTTTTCAAAGCGTTTGAAAGGCACGAATAGGTTACATTACATTGTACAATATACGACATAGATACCTATTCGCGTATATAATACTGTACAATATTACTTCAAGTCGTATACAACTAATTATCTACACTAAATTATAATTTTGTAATCAAAATCAAAATCTAACTTTAGTTTGGTAAGGTGACGGAATCGTAAGTTGTTTTTTGACTACATGTTACATGTACTAGCGGAATCATTAAATCGTTTCTCTAAGCATAAAATGGTCTAGTAGAAACCCGAAAATCCGATGAAACTTCACCCCTGCTTCTAATAACTCAAACAAGAAAAATTTTATCTTTTATCTGCAGATGATCAAATTTAATGTCAACTCTCGTTAAAAAAAATAACAACTTTACAAACGAACGTTTAAAATATAATCGAATTCAATAATTATAGTTTAATTTAAACAAATTGTATAGGTATTTAAAAAAAATATATGAAATAAGTAGGTACTTACCTGTTATTTAGATTTACTATCAGTGTAGGTAGGTAGACAGGTAGTCGTATAAACAATATTAATTGACTATCACGACGTAAAAAATATATTTTTATTCTCTATATTGTGATGACTATTAATGCAATGGTTAAGTCTTGATGAACTTGTTATCTTAAAACGGGAAGTATTTGTTTATTTGTCCAAAAAAAAAAAATAATATGTTTTAAATAAGAAACAATTTATAATTACATATAATACGTGCGGGATACCATGTAACTATAATAAACAATTAAAATGATACCTATAATAAAATACTCAATGGCATTGTACTTTATCCTGTGATTGTATGATGTACTATGTAGATGTGCTTAATAATTGGGTATCATAATAAATATTGTGATAACAGAAGAAGTGTATTTTCGAAGTCGTGAATCATAATTTGATAACATTTTATTAAAAGACTTGACATACAGCCACACAGGATAGATTAAATAGTTAAATTCAAATTTCTTTTGTACTACACGTTGATGTAATCAAAATTCTCATCATCATTACACATATTTACTCTTATGGCATCTTCGAATAAACTAACAATTGACATTAGTTATTTGTTGAATTGTCCTTAATATGTTAGGGACAATTAATAAAAGAATTAAGAAATATAATAATATCTAAGCTTGAAATTAATTATAGTGTTCCAAGATAATTGAAATTAAATTTTTATAAGTGTATATAAATTATAATTTATAAGCATTCTGAGTCAATTTTTAATTATTTGTAAATAAATAACCACCAAGTTTAGATTAAGGATTCTGCAGTAGCTATAAATAATATAGGTATCAGACTAAATATTGGCACACATGTTTTTTATATTACAGTGAAGCTACAATTTTTTATTGTAAAATGTTTAGTTTTCTATCATTTACATAGGACACATTTGATTAATAAAAAATACTGATTTGAAAATGTATAGGTTACATTCATACTAGTCAGTAACACCGATTATTTGATTTATGCATAAGAGATTCTATAGTAAATTTTGTGGGTGCGAGGCCCATATAGGATAATGAAGTCACATAATGTTGATCCAGAATTTTATGTATCAAGATAAATTATTATTATATATCCTCAATAGTTGCTATTAAACTGAAATTAAAATAAATTTGGAGCACATAGGGAACCCTAGATATATTTTAGAGTACCTTTTAACACTTAAGTGCCACTAACTTTGGTACATAAGGTAGAGCAGAAAATTGATTAAACTTTAAACTATCATATTAATTTGAATAATTTTAATGAAAAAAAGGAAAAGTAATAATTAATTAAAGCCTACTATTATGAACATTCACAAGAGTATACATGATATGAAAAATAAATACTTCTCATTAACATAGTGTATATGATTATTTAAAAATATAAAATAATTTAGTTCATAAAATTTTCCACTGACCAACTCAAAAATATACCTCTTTTTAGACTTATAGTGTATTAAATTGTTATTGACAATTTTGAAGAGTAAACTTAATTGCCATTTATACTTTTTTTTTATAAGTGAACTTCAATTTTTTTTAATATACCTACCAAATAATATTTTATGATTACTTCTAATATTAAATAAATTTATGTTAGATATATGGTACTGTTTATTAAATGTAATTATAAGAATTATAAGTATTAGACAATTAAATATATAGGACAATTTATTATAAAACTTGATAAATAAAGTTTAAATATTTTTAAAATAGACCAATACACAAACAAATTTGAAAATACACAAATTTGAATAAAAATTGAATAATTTATGCAAGTGTTAACGTCGAGGTGGACCACCACGCCCACGTCCACCACCACTTCCACGTGGCCCTCCACGACCTCCTCGTCCTCTAGGACCTCCACGACCACGGCCACCTCTTCCTGGCCCTAAGACAGTAATAATTGTATTAAAAAATATTTTATATAATTTCTGAATTATCACATTTCATTTCATTTAGAAGTAAATATATCTCTGATAAAATATGAATACTAACCTCCACGACCTCCTCGTCCAGCTCTGTTCATTCGTGATTTGGGGGCATCATCAACTAATAGGGTTTCAAGAGTAAGAGAGTCAGGTAAAATGTAGTATCGAATGTTGTTACCTCGAATACTGAGTGTTTCATAATGTATAGGTTGTTGGTTTCTTACAGTCATTTTAACAGCTTTAAGGTGAGTGTTCATTGCTACATCAACACCTAAAATTGTATAAATGTTAAATATTTAGTTACATATTACTAAAATAGAAAAATAAAATTATTGATGTCAATATAATATAACTGAAATATTAATTTTGAATATAATATATATATATATAACTATAAATAAAGACTACAGTTCAGAATCATTTTAACTAATATAATTTAAATATTTTTTAAACGTGACTAAACACATTTTGAGAGTTTTGACAATTCATCATATTTTGATTAATTATGGTTATTGTTGGATTTTTTAGTGATATTTTCAAACGTTAACCTTTGTTGGTAAATTTCTATAATATATATATTAAATATGCTATACACCAATAATTATTTTTTTTTTAGTGGGAATTAGTTATATTTTTAACCTAAAAGAACATTAACATTCTAAATAATTATTATAAAAATCTTACCTGTAATCGTTCCATGAACACTGGTACCATTTTTAAGTTCTAATGTCACAGTTTCATGACTGAGTTTCATCAAAAATCTAAAACATAAAAAAATTTTTAAATGTAATATAACATGTTGTAATATGTTTTATGTACAACATTAAACAGCTAAAATAATTTTTTTTTTAATCAAATGACAATTACAAACATTGTTTTATTGTAAGTATAAGTTATTGTCATCATTTCATATTGTTTTAAAATATTATTGTCGTATACAGTAATAATAATTGTATAAACACTGAATTCTTGGATATGCTCAATTGTTACAATTATAATTTTAATTACATCCTTAAGAACTTCACATAAATTGTTCTTAATTATTTAAATTAAACATAAAATTAATTTACTTTCTTTGTTAATTTTGTTAATTTATAGACTATAGGCATACAAAATAAAAATATATATATTTAAATATAAGTACTAGCATACTAAATGACTAAATGGGATAAATTTTAATTCTATAAAAAATAAAATAAATAATTTTATTACTATACATAATTATATGTATAATTCAAGTTTTATAATTATTTAGTTGGAAATGAAAATAGCATTTGAATTAAGTCTATAATAATGTGAATTAATTGTAAAAAGAAATGCATAAATATAAAAGTATAGAAAGCTAAATAGTGATTTCATAATAAGGAGATAACTTGAGTTACATTGTGTTTTAATCAAATTATTTAAAGATTTGAAGTATGTGTAATTAGCAAAGATGAGCAAAATATGAAATAATTATTTTAAATCAAATTAAAAAAAAAAACAGAAATTTTTTTAAGATAATCAAGAAATTAATGAAACACCAAATCTTGAAAAATCAGAATTTAAAAAATAAGGACAATCATAATATAAAATTACACAAAGAAAGTGATTAGAAAATACTTCACCAATTTATGTTTGGATTTAAAAATTGAAACTATATACCTACTTCATAATAGGTTAAAATATTGACCAAAGGATTAATAATCAATTGATTGGAATGAAAATGTATAAGCATTTTATATTACTGTCACAATGAAAAAAAAAAAAATGTTTTACAAAACATTGTCTTCTTTATAGCTGAGGAAAATGATTTCATAAATGTCATACAAAAGATAGGACTTGATTTATATTAATTTTTGGGTGTTAAAGTTGAAATTGAAATTATTTTAATTAATATTTTTAAAATTAAATATCAATTATCTATATAATGATTTTATACTTTTATGTAATAGGTATAAGTTACTATTCAGCAAATTCACTTTAAGATGAGAAAAATATTACTTTTGTTATATAGTTAAAAGTTAAATAAAATATTCAAAACTAAGTATATTTATTACGTAATACCAATTGATTAAATAATGTAAAATATGGGTTAGGTTATTAGTAATCTACACGGGTTAAAAAATAAACATAAGTTTTTCGGTCTTTTATGGGATTTTCTAATTGATATTGCCAAACAGCTATTACTTTAACACAATATAAAATATTGTTAAAAATTAAATTAATAAAGGTATATAAAATCTCTAGGGAATCATGTTAGTTCTGAAATTTAATTTATTAAAATAATATATCGGCGTTTGCGGCTAAAATCAAACTAACAACTTACTTGACTAATTTCATGATTATGTTTGAGAAACTTTTATGACGTGCTCAATTCCAATAGTACGCACTGGCTGTTGGCCCGTCTGGCGTGAAAGACAAAAGTGAAACAAATAAAGTATAAACTATAAAATATACTTAAGACTAAAAGCAAAATATATTAATCATTAAATCAACTATCAAATCGGTATTATAGAAATAAGAATTAAGAACTGTAGAATCAAAACAATTTGGAAAATGACGGGAAACTGCACGTGATACATGATGTTGTCAACGAAAGATGCCGAAAACCAGTGCCACCACCATTACCGATTGCGAATATACAAACGATGATATATCGACAGTGTCAATGTTAATATATTAATTTTTTTAATTGTGTTGTGTTCACAGTTCACAGTTGTTTGAGGTTTGAGATATATAAAAATTAAAAACACAAAAATAGTAGACTCTGGTCGATTAATACATCTGCGATATTTTCATTATTTTCATAGACATAAAATATATAAATGCATTGAAAATAGTCATGCAAAATAAGACGTTTTTTAATGTGCATTTATTATCTGTCTAACACATAAAAATTATTGTATACTAGTTCTTCAAAATTAGTATATTTTCTTTGCAAACACATTAAAAAAGAAATGTATCTATTAATCTAATATTTTCCGCTGAAATCACCATCCAAATGTACTTATGTACAATGATTCAACCACTACCGAGTGGCGAGGGGACTTGCTGATGTAAATCATAGTGCAAATTAGCATTAAATATTTATAGTCGCGTCTACATTACCTACTCTATATGTTATGTATGTTCTAGGTTCTAGCTTATTTAGTGAAATTTTCAATTTTAAAAACAACGTATTTAACTGATCCTTTAACCTATAATTCAGTTATCCTATCAACCAATTCAATTAAAATATGAAACAATCTTAGCTGAACTGTAAATATTGTATAATTTAAATAATGAATTTTTATGATTATTATTGTAAATAAAAACAAATAAAATTATTATTAATTATATTACTTAATAAAACAAAAATAAAATGTATAAAATTAAATATGTTAATTGTATTGTGTTAATAAATAATTAATATTTGTTAAAAAATAAGTTGCTCTTGATATACTCTTTATATTGGTAATTTATGTTATTATGTGAAATATTATTATTAAAATTAAAATGGAACAAAGTAAAATTTATGGTTATAAATGATTTAAAATGTCATCTGGTCAATTTTTACTTAAATATAAGTTGAATTTTTAAATTAAATTTTAAACAATAAAAATAGAAGATAATTTTTTTAACATATTATTAATTATAAATATCATCACAGTTCAAAAAAAATAGAATTTTGAAGCATATAATTATGAAAATACACTTGCCTAACATTTGCTATTGAAGAAGTTTAATATAGACAGCTTTAATGCAATTATGAGAAGAATTAAAATCTTTAATTTAAAATAGATTTGAATCTTATAATTTAAAGTATTTTATACTGTTGTTCCATAACAGTACCAATAATAGCTGTTAAATAACAATGTGGTAGTACAGAAAAAAAGTTTTCATGCGATACAAACTTATAAGAATATTGTTTATAGTAGATTTAACAAATTTTCACTATATAAAAGAAAACTTTAACTGTGTCAGTGTGTCCTAGTATTTTTGTTTTTTTTTTTTAAATCAATACTAAATAATTTTTTATAAAAAAAGAATAAAAACCCTGAAATACATACATTTTTTTTATTATATAGTACAATTTAGTAAAACTACTTAAAATGCTGTCTCCATAAGTTTGTCATAAGCAAAATTGTTCTCATGGATAAATTAGACAATTTTTTTTTTTCAAACAATAATGATACATATATAAAAGCTTCCAAAACTATTCAAACTGATAGAATTATTTGTTTAATATTTTATCTTAATTATTCAGTAAAATAACATTTTTTTTTTTGAAAAAACAAAAAAAAAATGCACCTATGGGTTAATGAAACTAGTTTAAAAATCATAATTCAGTATTGAGGGGTTCTGCAACTTAAAAAAATGTTATAAAAATTCAAATATTTCCATTATTAGTTTACATGTATCTTAATTAAAATTCTCTTCTATGATATTTGTCTGGTTCCATGAAAGAAGTGACAACAACTCTATTGTTGAATTTTCGGCCTGCCAAAGCTTGTTGTGCTTTTTGACAGTCAACAATAGTATTGAACTCTATAAACACCTGAAAGACAACATTTTTAAAATATTTATTTTATTAAAAATAATAATATATAAAAATATTACTTTTCCACAGCCTGGCACATCAATTCCTTCAATAGGCCGTGGAATTTCTAGTGACCGAACTACGCCATATTTATTACATTCTTCACGAATATCTTCCAGAATATCTTCATATTCTTCTTCATCTTTAAGTTCATCGGGAGTAACCATATTCAGTAAACATAAAACCTGTTAATAATTATAATTATAAATGAATTAAAAAATGTTTAATTTGTATTTTATTAAAAAAAAAAAACCATTTACCTCAGTTGGAGGTCCTGCAGTTCCAACAACTGTAAGTCCAGGGACTTGAATTGTTACAGGTACTTGACCAAGACCAGGATTTTTAGCTCCGATACTGGCCCTCTGTACAATTAATTTCTTTTCTCCTAATTGCATACCATTCAAACCAGCAATGGCCTGAATTAACCAAAATTTAAAAATTAATTGTTGTTACAAACAAAGAATAAAAAGGTATTTTACATTTTTTTGAATATAAGTAAATTATTTTACCTGATCAGTCATTACAACATCAGCATACTCGCAGAACGCATAACCTTTACTTAAACCAGTGGCAGCATCCTTGACCAAATTGAATGCTTTTAACTGACCAAATGATGTAAGTAGTTCTTTTACCTATCATTATGTAAATAAACAATATAAGACCTATTATAGTATTATATCTTATTGGGCGCTAATTAACCTTTAATAATATTTGTTTAAGATTTCCATAGATATTTATAAAAAGTATGCAATTAAAAAAAAAAGATCAACATAAGAACTGATTTATTTTAAGCTTAAAAATATATACCATAAGAAATTTATTTTTTTAACATTCATACATTTAAAATATCTAAGTATAACTTGTTACAAGCCAAATTTAAATTTAAAACATTAACCTGTTAAACATAGAACTCACAGGTTATACATTTATTTAAATAACTTTTATTTCTTATTACCCAGAGTTACATTTATTCATGCTTTTTCATAAATATTATTAAATTAAAAAAGCAGACTTGATGTTAAATATTTTAAAGTGTGTACTACTTTTTTTTGTTTTTTAACTTGTTTAGTTTATAATAATATTTATAAATCAATGACCACTTACATGGGGAAAAAATTTACTAAAACTTAATTTAATATGTACTTAACATTTATTATAAGGTTTCTACTGTATTTATATAATTTAATATCATCCAATAAAATGACTAAAACAATTAATAAATAGTACAATTTCTGTGATTACTTTTTGTTTTATTGTAGTGCTTCTTTAACTTCAACCAATTTACACAATTATAGTTAATTTTTATAAGTTTTAAGCAATATGGATAAATTGAAGATTGCAAATTTAAAAAGTTGTGACATAAATATTTTATAACAATACTAATTTATTGTTTTTCATTATAAAATGTTTAAAAAGAACTAATTATTAATGATAATAAATAAGATTATCTACATTAAACACATATATATATATATATTACAATTTGTTCAAGTGTTGCTAAAAATATATATTTTAACAAATATAATATAAGAGTACTGAGATAAGGTAATTTTCCACTATTTAATATGAATAAATTGGTATTTAAAACCACGTGAGTGGTCAATGGTTTCATTATTTACTTGCTAATACTATTATACTACTTATTGTTAATTACTTCCTAAGTAAAATACTCATTATATATTTTATTATGGTAAAAAAATCCACCAATTATTGCAGTTTCTAATTTTAATATTAAGAGAATTAATTTTTGATTAATCAATATTTTAAAGTTATTAGCTCATTATTTAGAATTTAAAATTCATAGTAATTTTTATGTAATAATAAATAAACAAGTATTTGATTTAATTTTGTTAGTTTTATAAATATGTATATTATTCAAGAAAATTTAAGAATAGTTTAGTTTCTATGACACATAAGTATAACCAATGTAATATTCCGAAATACCACTTGCCTGTTTGTCAATTTGGACAGACGAAGCAGTTGTATCAGAGAGTTTCATTTTCAACCAAATAATCTAGCTAAGGGAAAGGGGTATAGCAGAGGAACAATTATTAGATTTTTACTGTTCTATTGAAATTTTTCATATTTATTCTTCTTCTTTTTTTTTTTTAAATACTTTTTACTTACATTTGTTTTCAGACAGAAAGAAAAGTAAATGTATTGCAAGCATAATGAAAAGTCAATAAAAGGCTGGCAAGGAGAATCCATGTTCTTGCGGCAACCCTAAATAAATACCCTAGGTCCCTGCAAATCTAAACTGTTATATTTTAATACACATAACAAGAACATATTTTCTGAAAAAAAAACAAAAAATAAAACCTGAAATTTATGTGCTAAAAATTAAAAAAAAAATTAGCACTATTTTTGTTTCTTCTCAAACCATGTTTTTGTATTGACCTAATGTACCTCTGCTAATGATGGACAATTAAGCTAAAAATAAAGAGCGGCATTTTACTACTAAAAACACTTACTTGTTCATCATTAAGGTATGCTGGTAATCCTCCAATAAATATTTTGTGTGGTGAATCTAAAAAACATAACAATTATTAATGACTAAGAATATTAAATCTTAATATGTATAATACAAACCTGGAACTGTTCCAAGACCAAATGAGCTGGAATCATATTTCACTATAACAAAATATTCAATGAAAAATTACATTTTTATCTAAGAAAAAATAAATGTTCTCATACTCATGTCTAAAGTCATTCCAGAATTATAGTTTGTCACTGGATTACTCTCGGTCATTCCAGGAGTTGGTTGGTAATCATGTGGTCGTCTTATTTTCAAGCTTTGGCCTTTGAAATTAATACCATCAAAAGCCATTGCTTGAGTAGTTTCATCAATAGACCTAAACTAAAATTTAATGAAATTTAAATTAGCATTCAATTTTATAATACCATGTGTAAAATCTGTATGTACCTCCAAAAATGCAAAATTTTTGTCTAAATTAATTTGACATGCAAGCACAGGATTACCAGCAGCTTGAGCTAA